TTAAATTATTATATATTATATATCAATTTTCTTTCTCGAGTAGAAAATTTTCTCATTTTTTTTTTTTTTTATTTCGAACTTGTCCAATACGTGAAACTTTTTTTTCGTATTAGCTTCAGAAAAATGTTGATCGGTTCTCTGAAAGCGTGAAATTTTAAATTTATTTATATATTTTTTATTACACATTGTTTAAATTATTATATATTATATATCAATTTTCTTTCTCGAGTAGAAAATTTTCTCATTTTTTTTTTTTTTTATTTCGAACTTGTCCAATACGTGAAACTTTTTTTTCGTATTAGCTTCAGAAAAATGTTGATCGGTTCTCTGAAAGCGTGAAATTTTAAATTTATTTATATATTTTTTATTACACATTGTTTAAATTATTATATATTATATATCAATTTTCTTTCTCGAGTAGAAAATTTTCTCATTTTTTTTTTTTTTTATTTCGAACTTGTCCAATACGTGAAACTTTTTTTTCGTATTAGCTTCAGAAAAATGTTGATCGGTTCTCTGAAAGCGTGAAATTTTAAATTTATTTATATATTTTTTATTACACATTGTTTAAATTATTATATATTATATATCAATTTTCTTTCTCGAGTAGAAAATTTTCTCATTTTTTTTTTTTTTTATTTCGAACTTGTCCAATACGTGAAACTTTTTTTTCGTATTAGCTTCAGAAAAATGTTGATCGGTTCTCTGAAAGCGTGAAATTTTAAATTTATTTATATATTTTTTATTACACATTGTTTAAATTATTATATATTATATATCAATTTTCTTTCTCGAGTAGAAAATTTTCTCATTTTTTTTTTTTTTTATTTCGAACTTGTCCAATACGTGAAACTTTTTTTTCGTATTAGCTTCAGAAAAATGTTGATCGGTTCTCTGAAAGCGTGAAATTTTAAATTTATTTATATATTTTTTATTACACATTGTTTAAATTATTATATATTATATATCAATTTTCTTTCTCGAGTAGAAAATTTTCTCATTTTTTTTTTTTTTTATTTCGAACTTGTCCAATACGTGAAACTTTTTTTTCGTATTAGCTTCAGAAAAATGTTGATCGGTTCTCTGAAAGCGTGAAATTTTAAATTTATTTATATATTTTTTATTACACATTGTTTAAATTATTATATATTATATATCAATTTTCTTTCTCGAGTAGAAAATTTTCTCATTTTTTTTTTTTTTTATTTCGAACTTGTCCAATACGTGAAACTTTTTTTTCGTATTAGCTTCAGAAAAATGTTGATCGGTTCTCTGAAAGCGTGAAATTTTAAATTTATTTATATATTTTTTATTACACATTGTTTAAATTATTATATATTATATATCAATTTTCTTTCTCGAGTAGAAAATTTTCTCATTTTTTTTTTTTTTTATTTCGAACTTGTCCAATACGTGAAACTTTTTTTTCGTATCAGCTTCAGAAAAATGTTGATCGGTTCTCTGAAAGCGTGAAATTTTAAATTTATTTATATATTTTTTATTACACATTGTTTAAATTATTATATATTATATATCAATTTTCTTTCTCGAGTAGAAAATTTTCTCATTTTTTTTTTATATCGAACTTGTCGAATACGTGGAACTTTTTTTTCGTATTAGCTTCAGAAAAATGTTGATCGAAAGCGGTTCTCCGAAAGCGTGAAATTTCAAATTTATTTGGATTAGCAGCGATGTCATACGTGGGGAAGTTCGGGCACTCTATTCCGCACAAATTTATTCGGTCCCCGCGCTTGCAGGGAAACGGCTGCCTTTACTGTCGGTTTTACGAGAGCGCGTGTTTTCGAAGCACCGTCCTCATAAAATGAGCTGCCGCAGTATCTCCGCTATGCTCGCCGTTCTTTTTACCCCCTTTCGCACCTATGGATCTTTAATGTCCGACATAGTGACCATTCGGGCCGGAACTATGCGGAGATAAAACATCCGTCTCCCGCCTTATCTGACGCGCCGGAGTGTTCCCAGTGATATCATTTAACCTTTTCGGTGACACCAGCCAGCCGAGAAACTTTGCACTTTCCAGCACATTGACTCTCATTTTAATCTTTTACTTCTAATCAGAAAAAGATAATATCCACGGGAGCAATCCACAAAAATTTTTGACAATCAGAATATATGTATAAAAACTAGCTGAAAATATAGAATGGTATTAATATAAGTCACCTATAGCAAGGACAATATAAATCCGAAAACTCGCTTTTTGAACCATTCGAATCGCAATTACTCGCATAAGGATAAGATTGTTTTTTTTTTAATTGTATTTATTTACCAGATAAAAAAAATAAACGTTGACGCTTTGTTATTTTTATCTTAACAAACACGAAATAACGATATTACAAAAATTCTTTACTAATTGGCTGTCGAAGTCCTTCCTAATTGAATACACATAGACTTTTGATGAAATATCTTTTGATAAAGTATATAAACCTGCAAATATGTGTGTGTGTCATCGAGAGAGAGAGAGAGAGAGAGAGAGAGAGAGAGAGAGAAAATAACGTTGAAATTAAAAAATGATTAAATTTATATAATTACTGTGTAATATAATTGTTATATACTTGTTATATATTTGTTATATACATGTTAATATAGTTGCAATTATGTACCATAATACACAACAGACCAGAAAAAAAAAGATTATTTTAGTACAGAAAGGATTTAGTACAGAATGACAGAAAATACAAAGAAAAGGGGAAGAGGGGGGGGGGACACTTAATACATTTTTTAATTTATTTTTAAATATTGCAATAAAATATCTTTCCTCAAAGGATAAGAGATCATTATCTTTAAAAGAAAATCTGTAGATGTAGTAGCGTGCGCAATTATTTTTTGTGATCGTGCTTGATGAGACTTACGGGTTGGGCGCATTCGAAAACGATTTACTCGCATTTCAATCGAACTTAAAAAGCCAGCTATGCGTGACCCCGTCGCACAGCGTGCATGATTACACATAGAGACAAAGAGAAATCGTGAGAGAAGGAGAAAGAGCGCTGGCGGATCAATAGGACAGCTTGTCGTGACGTTATTGAAGAAACTACACGTATCAGCTGCTTTAAGCGTTAGCAATACGCGAGGTGCGAACTGTTAAATTCACATCACGTCTCGAGTTTGCCGGGAAAACGGAGAGCTTGCTTGGAATGTCTTAGTTAATTTAGTTACATGATGGCATTCATACAAATCGGGTCACTGGAACTACAGAAGTATCTGAGAAAAAAATGGGTGTCCTTGACCAAAAAATAATTATGTTCTATTTAAAAAATACACGTTATAGTGTGATTCTAAGATGTCTCAGTTTTACAAGAAAATATCAGTTTTCTTTGTGCTGTGTAAGATGAGATCTATCAAAATATATTGGATAAAAAATCTCGGGCGTTATCCTTGACCGTAACATCGATCAAGATGTGAGAAACTCTCACGATAAAATACAACTGTTCTATTATGGGTAGTACAAACTAAGGGGTTGTGTAACATGTGGATCTTATCAGAGATGTTGACGCGTTGTTGGGGATGATGTTTACTATAAAATATTCAAGTGGCAATCTTGGGCTTAGGTAAATTTTCCCATTACGCAAATTTTTGCAAGGGGCATATTTTTCTTTGTGTTAATATCTTTTGAATCTTGTCTAAGGACGCGTAAGCATCGTCGCTAATTAGTTCGCGAGGTACTCCGAATAAATCTCGTTAACACTTCACGCGAGAAATTTTTTTCCTTCCGCGCAAGACTCTTGCCGACTTTTTTAACTGGAGCTGAACTCGTGACAAAGGAACTGTCATCTTACTTTTCTATTATCTTACGTGTCTGATTTTTTGCGACTATCACGACTGCAATGACAATTAAAATTAGCAGAGGTGAGTCCGTTGAAGAATGAGTTGGCGGGAAATGGAAGAGATTAAATTCCAACCTTGACGATGATTTCTTTACTTAATCACACGCACCAGGAAACCGAGTTGACATTCGTCAGGAAGTCTATATCGCATGTTTGTTTCTCGTGGCTGAAGTCAAAGATAAAAGATATAGTTTTTTTTTTCGCGAGGCTATTCTCGAACATGTTTACACAAAGAGGCTACGTGATAAATTCCGCATCATCCAGATTGGCGCGATTTGATGCAACGAAGTTATAACAGCGGACTTATATCGAGTAAGCTAACACTTTTATGTCACTTCAACGACGATATAAATTTTACGAGGATATTAGCGTTGTGCTAGAACGGGACGAATTATTTGGGCATGGTTCAGAGACTTTTATAGGAAGTTTCGCAATTTTACTATCGGCTCCTTTGTCTTCCCACACGCGTATCCGTAAGTGAAATATCACCATCGCTGCGCAGTTTGCGCATCGATGTCTAAGAAGCATTCAGTAAACGTCAATCTGGAATATTTATCGCGTCGCGTAGTCGCTAATGGACTACGACGTTTTGTGTACGTGACCCGACATAAATTTCCCCGATGATTTATATTCTTGATTTTAACACCGTTCGGTATTTCCAAATTTTATGGCCGCGCCTCGCGACAGTCCTTGACACGCATCGAAGTGCCATCAACGATGTTCGCGATGGCTTCCAAGTGCTGTCAAGAACTTGAGTTTTCGAGTGTAGGAAGTTGGCGCGAGGGTAGCACTCCAGCACTCTGTACTTTACGAAACATAAAGTTATACTCGAAACGATCCAGTTTTAGATATTCGTCAATTTTTAGATGCACGAGCTAGAAATTCATTTATTATAGATACTGTCTCTTGAACGCGCATCGATCGGTTTTTACGAGATGTCGAGTCTGCGAAAATGTTTAAGGTTGTTTCAAATCAAAAAGGATCCCTGTACACGCGGATTATTTTACAAGTAAATTAAACCTCGCGCACGGAGGATCGCTCTCGAATACATTCGCTGCCCGTATACATGCATTTATGATAAGGTCTCGACTGGCGTGCGATGAGAGAGACGCGACCGGCGCGAATCCCTTTCGTATCTGACTTGCTAATTTCCTGTTTCAGGAACCAAGTTCCTCTGCAGCGAGGTGATAGCGCTAATAAGGAGCGAGGTGGACGACATTTGCCTACAAATCATAAACTTCGAGGACCTGAGCTCGCAGCCGCCGCCGCAGCCCGCGATCCCGCCGCCGAGTCAGGCCAACAACAGGCTCGCGACACGCTGTATGTTCCAATTTTATTCGTTCTACTTCGACTCGTCCCGATGCGAGCGCGTGTCCGAATTTTCGCACAAAAAATTTTACCGCAAATTTCGCGGCGGTTCCAACAAAAACACCTCGCCCGGTCTTTTGTATGTCACGAGAAATTTCCGCCGCCCACGATCTCTCTCATAAAGAAAAAAATATACGCACACAGATATCAAAATTCCGGACGAAATTTTTAAATTTGAAAGAGAAGGGATCAAGATTTTTAATCGAGTTGTCACAGTACGTGACGACATCCGCTGATCGAATCGATCCTAGATTCGATAGCTCCTATTGCGCAGTTAAATTAAACGATAAACTTGGGCCTAACATTTGCACACGATATCCTGTCCGAGACATTTCGTGCTTCCCACACATATAACTGCCTGCGGCTTTTAAACACGGATATCATTATTTCCTGCTGCACCGTCCGTTATAAGACACCGTCGCGCGCTGACATTCGTGGCCGCCTCGTTCTTACAAGTGGGACGTGGTGTGTGGGCTACTCTTCTTGTGACGATCATTGTTACGATCATAGATCCAGGTCAGGTGTATCCGCATAATGAGCCTCCTGTTACAATCCTGCGGAAATTCGGACGCGACTTCTTTCGTGTGGGCAATTACGTTTTATCACTGCATTGTCATTCTCCTCTACACGTGTATGTGTGTATCCTTTGGTTGGAATTTGGATATCCTTGAATACACGAATTGCCTTTATCTATTACTTCCACCTGTGTTTATGCGGGTGCAATATTTTCATGTGAATGCGACGTGTCTCTCTTTAATTAGACTTTGCTTGTCGCTGCACAGATGCAGTATAAAATATGTAAAAGCTCCTGCGCTCCCAGTATTACTCTTCTGCATAATGTCAGCTTTCGCATGATGTTTCCGTAGTTATTCTCGCAGAAAACACAATTATAAAAATATAATTTATCGATAAAAAATTTTAAATTTAATTTTTTTTTTTTTTAATTTAATTTAAAATTTAAAATTTAATTTCTAAATTGCTATTAATAACAAGATACTATATTATATTTATTTTTTGTAAAAGGATTCTAGAAATGTATTTTTTTTTTTTTTTAATTTTAAGGAGACGCTTTTGATTGAAAAAAAAAAGAGGCTTTTATATAAAGTATACTATCTAATTCGATCCACAAGTGCGTAGCACGTTTTCGCGATAAACTCCCCTCGCCATTTTTCTCGGATCAATTTAGAAAACATACGCATACACGCGTATTTGCATATATTCGTAAGGGAAGACGGGACACGTGGTCGCGTTTTATATCTGGAGTGCTCGCGAAACTATTTTTAGAATGACGCTGCAGAGCGCTGGACGTGCGCGGCGCGCCTAACGGTTAACCCTGACCCGGTAATAAATGTTATGCCCTCGAATAGGTAGCTATAGACAGGCACCTTACCTCTTGGTTGATAATCCTCCCCCTAAAGCAGCTCAGCTGATGGTTAGAGACTTACAACAGAAATCGATCGTAACGGAAAGTCGCGTAGCATTAAAAACGTGCTTGAGGAAATGCCTTTTTCATAGGCGTCACGCATAGAAAAATCAATGGGCGCGGGTATTTCTCTCTCTCTCTCTCTCTCTCTTTCTCTTTCTCTCTCTCTCTCTCTTTACTTTTATTCTATTTCAGAGACATTACTGCATTTCTTCTTTTAATAAAAAAATCTTGTAATTAACACACATACGATTTATTTAGTATATATTTATTTAATATATAAATGAAAATTTAAAACCGTAATTTAAAAACATAAATTTCTAATTTGTTAAGAAATCTTAAAATAAGAAATTTTAATAATTTTTTATTTTATATATTTGATGAATAATTAGCAGAGAGTGCTACTAATATATAGCATATAGTATACTAATATATAGTATCATATATGCATACGATCGAGCAATATGCTCGATGTTTTTAAAAGCGTGTTTGAGGAAATGCCTTTTTCATAGGCGTCACACAAGGTTTTTTCATATCGCGTCACATATAGGAGAATCAATGACGCGGTTATTTCTCTTTATTTCATTACTGCATTTTTTTCTTTTAATAAAGAAAATTTTTTAATAGACATACGATTTATTTAATATATAAATGAAGTAAATTTCTACCTTTTAAAAAAATTTTAAAGTAAAAAATTTGTATAACTCTTTATTTAATATATTTGATAGATGATTAGTAGAGCTATTAATATCAGAAATAAAATATATTTAATGAATTATGAATATAAGATATGACTAGCATATGATCGAGCAATATGCTCGATGTGTTCGGTGCTACTTCAGCTCACTTAAAATACCAATAACTGAATGCGCAGATATTTTGAAAAGCCGATATAATCCATCGATCGATAGTTTGTACAGAGTTTGAAATTGTTCCTCCAAGAGCGTGGTCTCTATTCAGTCTTAGTCTCGTCAAAATGCAATCAATAACGGATATTTAATAGAGTAATCCATCATCTAAATAAATCGAGCGTCCCATACCGCGATTATTGCAATTAATAATCATTAAATAATTAATAAGTATAATTAACACATCAAAACTTCATCTTGTTTACGCTACAATATTCTCAGTTGCTTCTGCACATATGATTTAATTTCTTACATAAAATTACACTTGATTATATACACCTCCCTCTGCACACGATCATCCATCTTTGAAAGTGCCTTTATTTTAAATTATTTACTTTGATTCGTCATTTTTCAATTTGCGATTTTATATCAATCTTCTTCCGATTACTGAGTCGACGTGATATCGACTTGGCTCAGGTCGATATCACGTAGGAAAACAACTCGGAAACGATTCAATCAATCCGCATTCTAATGGCACGTTATTTTAGTAGAGGAATCGCGGATAACGGTTCTTTCCGTTTAACGACGATCGATATCAATGCATAATCGAGAATATTGTCGATCGTCGTACATGATTGCCGACACTCTTTTCACATCTTCTGTTTATTTTATTTTTTTTTCTCGAACGGCGCTGCGGGGGAGGGAGAAGGGTGGGAGGGGGGGAGGGCAATAAGTGATTATGGCTATGATTTCGTTCTCCAGTTTGCGCGGATATTTTTTAATAGGAATTTCTTTGTGTCATCGGTGGCGTTTCAAGCGCGTGCATTTGCATACCGATTTAAACGTAACGAGCAAATACCGCGCGCATTTTCGTCGATAATCGCGTTTTTCAGCGCGACATATCGTTTTCCGATGAATTATGATGAGTTTTAACAACACGATAATATTCGGATGAGATTTGAGGAGCTTTTAAATCCGAGGAGAGACACAGTGCGAAAAATAATCCGTGTCTCTTATTTCGAGCGTTTCTTCGTGAAACTTGACGCGATCGCGTGCACGCAATTAAACGCGCCGTTTTTTTTTTTTTTCGAGCCGGAGGTCGACGAATTTTTGCGGCGTCGAAGAACCAAGGGGTTCAAAGACAGGCATAATATTTTAGCGAAAGTTCAACGGCCACGGTTGGCGCGAAATCAAGCAACGGAGCGGAAATGAGGATTGAACATTCTGTCATCTGCATGCCAGACGTCGCGAATCGCGCGCTGGACGATGAATTGAAAGACCCACTTTGACTGACAAGGAACCTTCGGCAACGCGAAAATTCAAAAAAATCTGAAACTTTGCATAATTATAGAGTAGTAGTCCCTAATAACTACTTTTTTGTTGGTGCTAAAAATCGGTTTCATGGGTGAAAACAACTCCTTTGAAAAAATCAGTTTTTACATTCCGAAGCGAATATTATTGAAACAAAAAGAAATATGAAAAAAATTGTTAAACAAAAGTTTTCACCCCTGAAACCTATTTTTAGCACCATCAAAAAATCGTTTCGTTATTAGGGACTACTACTCTATAATTATGCAAAGTTTCAGATTTTTTTGAATTTTCGCGTTGCCGAAGGTTCCTTGTCAGTCAAAGTGGGTCTTTCAATTCATCGTCCAGCGCGCGATTCGCGACGTCTGGCATGCAGATGACAGAATGTTCAATCCTCATTTCCGCTCCGTTGCTTGATTTCGCGCCAACCGTGGCCGTTGAACTTTCGCTAAAATATTATGCCTGTCTTTGAACCCCTTGGTTCTTCGACGCCGCAAAAATTCGTCGACCTCCGGCTCGAAAAAAAAAAAAAACGGCGCGTTTAATTGCGTGCACGCGATCGCGTCAAGTTTCACGAAGAAACGCTCGAAATAAGAGACACGGATTATTTTTCGCACTGTGTCTCTCCTCGGATTTAAAAGCTCCTCAAATCTCATCCGAATATTATCGTGTTGTTAAAACTCATCATAATTCATCGGAAAACGATATGTCGCGCTGAAAAACGCGATTATCGACGAAAATGCGCGCGGTATTTGCTCGTTACGTTTAAATCGGTATGCAAATGCACGCGCTTGAAACGCCACCGATGACACAAAGAAATTCCTATTAAAAAATATCCGCGCAAACTGGAGAACGAAATCATAGCCATAATCACTTATTGCCCTCCCCCCCTCCCACCCTTCTTTTCAGGGGTGAAAACAACTCCTTTGAAAAAATCAGTTTTTACATTCCGAAGCGAATATTATTGAAATAAAAAGAAATATGAAAAAATTGTTTAAACAAAAGTTTTATGGTTTCAAATGTACTTTAATATAATTTGAAAATTTTTTCAAAATATCAAAGAAAAATATTGAGTGGTAGGGATATTTCGAAAAATTTAAAATCCAGATACGCCATTGTAAAGTACATTTGAAACCATAAAACTTTTGTTTAAACAATTTTTTCATATTTGTTTTTGTTTCAATAATATTCGCTTTGGAATGTACAAACCGATTTTTTCTAAGGGGTTGTTTTCACCCCTGAAACCGATTTTTAGCATCAACAAAAAATCGTTTCGTTATTAGGGACTACTACTCTATAATTATGCAAAGTTTCAGATTTTTTTGAATTTTTGCATTGCCGAAGGTTCTTTGTGACTTATCTTTGTGAGGTGTTCTCGCGGAACGGCGTGGCAAATGGATTTTCCAGTACTTGACGTGACAAATTCGACGGGTCGAGCGTGATAACAATGCAAAGTCGACAAAGTTAAATCAATCGTTAACTTCCGGCGGCAACCGCGTCTCTCGAATCATTAAGGTTTCAACAGAAATCATTAAATAGTAAACCTCGTCAATGTTAGATGCTAGATATGTCGCACATAAAATTGTACAAGTCATTAATATTGTAAAAAGAAGTATAAAAAATGTATAAGAGAGAACTCGCATACAATTTTTTTGAAACGGAATGGCGATTATAATAGCATTGGATAATAATAAAAAATGATAATAATGTTGTAATAGAGAGAAAAAGAGAGAAAGAGATTAGTATCAAATTGTAAACATGATGTATTTTATCGCGAATTGTTTGGTAGCTTAACCGAATTGGGACTTGACAACTTACGTACGTTGATCCGGCATGTTTATTTTGCACGTTTTGTATAAATACATTAGCCGAGCATCGCGTATGTAAATAATAAAAAACTGCCGCGATGCATATCGACCGTCGTGGAAGCGGCAGTAATTGCCGTTTCTTGTGACGGTAAATTTATGCAAAGCGCTGCCTTGCCACTTCGCTCTAACACCGACTACTAACAGTACTAATGAGACTCAATGACGTTGACTCGAGCAGTCGACAGGGCAAGGGCGTCCTTCCGAGCTGGCTTGTCGAGGACCGGTGTCGTTGGTCCACCAAGGGTCCGGAATCGACCGCGCACGGCGGCTAATCTGCCTCATCGACTCGCTGACGGGACCATCCTCGACGAGGACGCTTCTGAGAACTGGTGAGTTACATTTGTCAATTTCAGGAAGAATTTTGCCAATTTTTAATTTTGATCAAAAATTTTTATTTTTTTATTTTTTTATTTTTGTAATAAAATAGAATTTTGTCTTTTCCTAAAGTTTCTTTATAAATTAAAATATTAATTTTAATTGTATTTATAAATTAAAATATTTTGTTAATTCTAATAAAAAACAAACTTTAGTTTCTCTTTATTATGCACTGTATAATTATAGAGAGAAATATATTAT